TACTTCTTCCAAGACAGATCTGTTCCTTTGGCAGTCCATGTACTTTTAATATTCTTCACCAGCAGTATAATTCAAAAGCATAGCTTTCTCTCCAGCCTTTCTTATCCAATGCCCGACTTTCACATGCATACAAGGCAATTGGAAATATTGCACCTTAGTGCGCAAAGTAACATCCTTGCTTTTCAGTATGCTGAGGAGGTCTTGTGCAGCTGATCTACCCAATGCTATGCAGCATGTGCTCTCTTGACTGCTGATTCCAGGAGCATTGATTGTGGACCCAAGCAAACGGAAACCCTTAACAACTTCAGTCTGTTCTCCTTTTATCATGATGCTACCTAGTGGTCCAATTGTGAATATTAATTACAAAGGGCAAAAGAGCAACTTTACAGTAAAGACACCTTGCAGTTGCTATCTTAATTAACACTCTCAATAATGGAACAAATAAATGGGGAGGAGGTACCACCCGATAGCCAGCTACAAGAAAACCATAGTATTACCTGTGCTATTCCCGGATCTAATCAAGGAAACTCCAACTAGGGGATGGCTTACAAAATACACGACCTATCCAAACGGGTGGACGTTCAGATCACGAAAGTCAAGGAAAAATTGAGAAATCGTTCCCTACAAGGCATGTCAGTAGAGGAAACCCTGTCCCCATCGAGGACAGTGTTGAGGCAACGTCTTAGAGCGCATTTACTGCTCTCAGTGAATGTTCTTGATGAGGAAACGCACATTAGATTGAGAGTGATGAGGTAGATTAGCAACTGAGCCCCAGATGATTCTGAGAGAAAGTGTTTTCTAAACTAGCCTTGGGGGAAAAGAGGTGATGCAGAAAATTAAAAAAAAAAAAATTCTTTAATGTTCAACAGAAAGACTTAAAAGAATTTTCCCAAGGGTAAAAGACAAAGATAAAACTAGAGGAAAGAAAACCAAATACAACTGTAAGGTCATTCGATTAGATCAAGAGTCCTAGCATGAAGCGACCGGGCGCTCAAGAGAAAGACCAGAGAGCCAGAGGAGAGGGCATCACCAAATGAACAAGGGAAGAAAAAGGAAAGCGGTTCTCCCGCCCGCCAGCCCCGCCGTCCGTTGGCGCCGCGTGCCCAGCCCGGCATGGAGCAGGAGTGTCGAGTCCTTTCCATCCAGAGCCACGTGGGCAACCGTGCCGCCACCTTCCCGTTGCAGGTGCTGGGATTCGAAATCGATGCTGTAAACTCTGTGCAGTTTTCAAACCACGCAGGCTGTGCTCACTGGAAGGGCCACGTGCTGAACTCTGACAAGCTCCACGAGCTGTACGAAGGGCTCAAGGTGAACACATACGACTACATGCTCACAGGGTACACCCGGAATGCATCCTTCCTGGCTGTGGTGGTGGCCATCGTGCGGGAGCTGAAGCAGCAGAACCCCAGCCTCGTCTGTGTGTGTGACCCGGTGATGGGAGACCAGTGGAACAGCGAAGGGTCCATGTGTGTTCCAGAAAATCTCCTTCTGGTTTACAAAGAGAAAGTTGTGCCTGTTGCGGACATTCTAACTCCCAACCAGTTTGAGGCTGAGTTGCTGAGCGGCAGAAAGATCCATAATCAAGAAGCAGCACTGGAGGCGATAGACGTGCTGCGCTCCATGGGCCCCGATACCATGGTCATCACCAGTTCTGACCTGCCATCCCCACGAGGGAGCGACTACCTGATTGCACTGGGCAGTCAGAGGACAAAGCGGCCTGACGGCTCTGTGGCAACAGAGCGGATCCGGATGGAGATGCACAGGGTGGATGCTGTCTTTGTGGGCACGGGGGATCTCTTGGTTGCCATGCTCCTGGCCTGGACACACAAGCACCACAACAACCTCAAGGTGGCCTGTGAGAAGACCGTGTCTGCCATGCACCACGTCTTGCAGAGAACCATCCAGTGCGCCAAAGCCCAGGCTGGGAAAGGACAGAAGCCCAGCCCGGCCCAGCTGGAGCTGAGGGTGGTGCAGAGCAAAAGGGACATAGATCGAGGACCCAGAGGTCGTCATGCAGGCTGCCGTGCTGTGAGGCCACGCGGTGCACCGGCCAGCAGCGCACCAACCTTCTGTCTTCTTCATCGTCTTCGTCCTGTGAAAACGTAACGTCTGTCTACTTGCCCTCGAGCTGGGACTGGGATTTGACTGGATGCCTGTTGTTCTTCCCGGGGTTTCCGACCTGCCTCCGCTGTTCTGAATCGGGGAAACGTGTGGGCCACGCTTTGGAAAAATCATGAGGTGATCACAGGGGAAAAAAAAGAAAAGCCTTCCCAGAATGGAAGGACCTGCGTTTCTAGCTCGAAATCCTACCTCGTGCCTCAAGAAGGCGCATCATTGTGGGGAACAGAAGGAATTCTCTTAAGTTGTCTCCCCAAAATATGTACCAAACTTAGCTTCTTAAGAGTGACTCTCGGCGAAAGTGGGTCAGAGGTTATTCTCCTTGACATTGGCCATCTGTAGTGGCTAGACCATTAGTCTGACTCACCCTGAATAAGACCCACTCCCTTCTGATAAGGATAATGGTGGTCTATTTACTTGCAGAGATACCAGAGAGGGCAAACCCGCCCAAGGGTGACCAAGGTTAGTTAGCCATTATCAGCTGTTTAGATCAAGCAGATACCACTGTCTATTCCACAACCAATGTGGGCACACCCCTAGGTGATTCCTATTGATTGTATTGCCTATGCTAATATCCCTCCTGATGACTCAGGCTATTGTCCTCTATCAGGGAACTTGCATGCTTCCCAGAATAGTAATGGTCTGCTTTATTATGCGAGACATTAGAGCTATCAAACTTGTTCTAGAATGAATTGTATTGCCCCTTTCTGTGATGTATGATTACGATATGTGGTTAGCAATAAATAACGAGGCTCCCTGGTACTCGAGAGGGTGGCCAGAAGGTGACTAAGGAGGACGAAGCAGCGGCTTCTTCTCTGATGGCTAAGCCCCCTCCACGAGGACCATCAAGCCGGGCGGAGGTGAGATATGCTACCATGAATTGCGTCTGACTCCATTATTTGACTCTATCTTTTAGCTCTCATGCTCTCTATGACTTTACTATAATCTCTACTTATTATCGCTGTACAATTGCGCCTACCTAACCTGTGATGTTTTGTGGGGTTCCCTCTTACCCTTAACCCCACACATCATTAATAATCAGAATCACGGAGAAAGAGGAGACTATTCAGAAAGGGGGGGGGAAATCACTAAAGCCAGTTTCATACAAAAGTTTAGAAATCACAAGGACTTCAGAACTCTTAACAGCCACACTGGAAGCTAGCAGGCAATTTTTAAAAATTAAATGTTAAACGTTAAAATTCTGCAGGAAACATTTCTTTTTAAAAGTTGTTTCATTGGGGGCACTTACAGCTCTTATCACAATCCATACATCAATTGTTTCAAGCAAATATGTACATATGTTGCCGTCATCATTTTCTAAACATTTACTTTCTATTTGAGCCCTTGGTGTCAGCTCCTCTTTTCCCCTTCCTTCCTCCCCTCCCACCCTTGTGACCCCTTGATAATTTATCAATTATTATTGTTTTCTTGTCTAACACCCACTACTGTCTCCCTTCACCCATGTTTCCGTTGTTAAGCCCCCCTGGCGGGGCGGTGGAGGGAAAGGGAGGAATTAAGTGTCAGTCATTGGGATCAATTCCCCCTTCATCCCCTCCTCCCCCCACCTTCCCCCTACCCTCCTGGTATTGCTACTCCCAATTCTGGTTCTGAGGGGTTTATCTGACCTGGATTCCATGTATCTTGAGCTCTTATCTGTACCAGTGTGCATGCTCCAGTCTAGCCTGTAGTGAAAGACAGGACGGGTCATGATACTGAGCGGTGAGGAAGCCTCAAGGAACCAGAGGAATAGTGTGTGTTTCCTTTGTGCTTTACTGAACTCTGCTTGACTCATCCCTTCCTTGTGATCCTTCTGTGAGGGGATGTCCTGTTGTCTACAGATGGGCTTTGGGTCTCTGCTCCGGCCCCCCTGGTTCTCAACAACATCTTGGCTTTCTTGGTTTGTTTTGAGTCTTCTGATGCCTGTTAGCTGATTCTATTGACTCCTCACGGCGGCACCGGCTGGTGGCTTCTCTCTGTGGGCTGGTTGCGTCTCTGCTACAGGACGCCAGGCTGTTAGAACAAGGTGCTCTTGCGTTGAGGGGGAGCTTGAGCAGAGGCCCGGGTTCTGTCCACTTCCTCAGTGTGTTGCCGTATAAATGTGTGCCTAGGCCAATACCTCTATTTTTATGAATTAATAGAATTACGTAAGTGCACACCTATGTTTATACCTATATCCATAGCTTTGCTTCTTGATATTTCCTCTGAAATAAACCTATTTCTAACCCAGAATATAGTCAAACTATCAAGAGAGTAGAAGGCAAGGGCATTTTCAGGCACATAAAAGCTCCAAACATTTCTTTCCCATGCGTGTGTTTTTATTCCTATGGACACTGTTTTCTGAGGGGTATGCTTTTGGAAGAAACCGAAAAGGAAGAAAATGTGGGATCAGAAGATGCACGAGAGAAAGGTAAAACCTTACAGAAAGAACTCTGTACGGTGATGGAGAGAAGCGGGCGAGGGGAGACTGTGGTCTCCCGGGGCCGGAACAGCCAGTGTAGACTAGAGTAGATCAGGAGGATCCTAGTGCTTCCAACATCAAGGTGTAGACCACCCACAGTACTTAGCAGAGTTTGTGAGCCTTGAGAGTTGGGGGAGTTTGGAGCTGAACTAATAATCACACAGAAAACAAAGCATTCAAACTAATAAATATAAAAGACGGGTGATTAATTTTAGGAAAACGTTTTTAAAGTAAGAACATCAGAGTATGATATAGAACTCACTTGTGAATTATATTTACAGTCTCATTGTGGTTATGTCTTGGGCTGCTAACTGCAAGATCAGCACTTCAAAACCACCAGTAGCTCCATAGGAGAAAGACGAGGCTTTGTACTCCCACAAAGATTTACAGTCTTGGATACCCACATGGGGCAGTTTTATTCTGTCCTTTGGAGGTGTTATGTCAGGAGGGACTCGTGGCAGTGAGGGATGATGTAAATAGGAGCCCTGGTAAACTGCTCTGGTGCAGCTGACTGAAAGGTGGACAGTTTGAACCCTCCCACAGCTCCAAGGGAGGAAGAGAGCCGTTTACTTCCATAAACATTTACAGCCTGGAAAACTACAGGGGGTAGATTTACTCTAGCCTCTAAGAATGCTGTGTGTTGGAATGGATGTGCTAGCAACAGGTTTGGTTCTAGTGTAAATACTGAATACAAGTATAACCAAAACTATGATATAATGACACCGGGTGTGTGGGAGATGGGGCATACATAAATGCATGCTAGTGGTGGGGGCAGTGTATATAAGAAGAAAGGTAAGTCCTCATCTTCCATAGTGGGCGGCCAATAGATAAAGTCAAAACCAGAAAACCACTGTGTGGCTGTCTACTTGCTATTTAAGATGTGCTGAAAGATACACAGGAATCAGCCAGGAGGACAGAAATGCTGCCTCTGGGGAAGCAGGAAAGGGGGGCTGGGGACCCAGGAACTCCGCTGTTTTTGTGATAAGCGTTGCAGACCTTTTCAGCATAGAAAGCCATTTTTCAAAAGGAAGAAAAACTTTTACCTGCTGAGCAAAAATGTTCAAAGCGAACCTTGGTGGAAAACTGATTTTGAAGGGTCAGAGTTTCAGAAAATCTGCCTGCTCAGCTGCAGCTCAGAAGTCACTGATTCGAACCCACCAGCCTCCCCCCAGGGGAAAAAGGAGGCAGTCAGCTTCCGGAAAGAGTCTCTCTGACCGCCATCAGTCGAGAGCGCCGCCTGCGGGTTTCCCAGGCTGTGCCTCTCAGGGGAGGGAAAGCCCAGTCTCTCGCACAGAGCAGCTGGTGGTTTTGAACAGCCGACCATGCGTAAAGAAAACTGCCTTGGAAACCTCCTGGGGCAGTTCTCCTCTGTCCTACAAGGTCATTTCGGGTTGGAATTGACTAGAAGGCAGACTTTCTTTGGTTTGACCCCCCAGGCAATCCCCAGGGGGCCCCACTGGATGAATCATTCCTTAAATGCTGGGGGGTTCTGGTATGTTCGGCGAGTGCTCATGAATTAGCCTTCATGGTTTTACCTGTAGGTCCTTTCTCAGGGCTTCCTTGCTTTGGCTTTGGATGCAATTTGAACACGTGTGCTTATTTGAAAACCGGTGTGGCATGTGAGGTCCTGTGGACTGTGACTCACGATGACCCCATGTGGCATAGCAAAAAAATAGAAGTCTAGGTTAAGAAATGTTAACTGTGAGCCATGGGTGCAAGTCCTTTTTCTATTTACAATGAACTGTACTCTTTCATACAACACGCTATCCACTTCCTACTCGGAAAGCCAGTGATGACAGCCTTAGTAAAGTGCTGATGGGAAGCTTGTGTTTGTTGGAGTTATTTTGGTTACAAAGCACAGAAACCTAACTCAAACTCGCTTCCATAAAACAAAAAGTTGATGTGGATGCTAGGGTGGGTTGAGGGGCTCACGCAAGTTGAAAAGTCCAGGATTCAGGTGATTCCAATGATAGGGCCAGGTCTGTCTCTGCATCTCCCCAGTGTTAACTTCTTCCTCAGGCCGGTCCTGTACATGTAGCAAGTAAGATGCTCTGGTAGTTCCAGGATTATCTGTTTTTAATAGTGTCAAGATCACTTTAGAAGAATGAATCGCTTCCCAGATCACTCTGCCAAGAATCCCAAGGAGGAATCTGAAAGGCCCAGCTTGGTCCATGTACTGGCCCCTGAACCAATCACTGTGGCAAGCAAGATAGACTATGCGAATTAGCCAGACCAGGGTCACCTTTCCCGCCCCCTGGCTATGACAAGCAGACAGAAGATGCTGACGACAAAGACCAGATGAGCATTTTATAATTGGTGCCAATACAAGTAAAACACCATGATTTATCCTAGGCCACTCACAACATGGAGTGATTCCAACTCATGGGCCCATGTGGGCAAGAGGAGAGCTGTGCTTAGTTAGGTTTTCAAGGCTGCCACCTTTCTGAAGCAAAACA